TCATACCACATCTCCTTAATTTTATATTCACATTATTTGTGCCGAAAGTTGAACTGTTACTAAATAATAACGATGGAAAATTGTCCAGCAATCCCCCAAATGACCCCAACACATAACTTCTATTATCTTATATCAATTGCTCAAAAATATCATCATGGAAACCAGGCTTATAATTTAATTTGAACGACAAACGGACGCTTCGTTTACATTAGACGGATGAGTCTAAATGACGAAAGGTTTTAACAAGCTGTAGTAGGCATTTTAATGAGATTAAATAATGACATAACACAGGTCATTAATTTAAGATCAATAGACACATTTAGTTTTAAAATAGTATCTTCCGGATAGGTTTTGTCACCTCAAAAGGACGGCCTATCCTTTTAAACGGAAAATAACTCCATATAGGCATATACACAGCAACAATGTAAAACTTAAAAAATAACGCCTACTTGGCAATAATCACCAAAAGCATATACACATTAAATATACGAATGGTTTTGCGGCAAATATTTCATTAGCCATATTTGTTTTAATACAAACCACCCTAAGATAACACAAAACAACAGATTTTAACATGTTTAATGACTGTTCAGTATTTTGAATAAATGTTGGAAATGTTTGCACTCTCAATTAAAGCAGACAAAGGAGAATTGTTATTGTCTAGTAATATTTTTGTCATTTATATAATACAACTAATCAAGAGTTACCATATTTACTGATTCAAGATCCAGACATACAATTTTCAGTATGAAATACACATATTGCCAGTATTTATTGATGTATGCATTTTTGTTTGTTATATAAGCAATCCTGAGATATCACGACTACCGACTTTAATGCTGATTCATTGTCATGAATCAAAAGAGTTGAAACTCTTGATTAAATCCGGCAATATTAGGATTCAATGTGTACCAATATTGCTGTCGTATTTTATACAATAATATAAAGTAAACATATGGACCAGCGTTATACAAACCACCATGAGCGATGAGATATTACTTATTCACGTTTATAAAATAAATGATTTTCCAGCAAAATATTTCATTGGCATTCATTTTGGTTATACAAACGATCCTACGAAGATTTTTTAATGACCGTTCTGTATTTTGAATAAATACAGGAAATATTTGCACTACCAATATTGCTTCCATTTATATAATACAATCACTAAAGTGTCGACTACTGGATTGGTGATACCCTCGGTGACGAAACGTCCACCCAACAGTAGCATCGATCAAGTGGACGAATAAAGTATCAACGACATTATAATTATTGTGTTATTCAGACTTCCATCGAAGGAGAAGACTATTTTACAACGTCATCATACTACAAAACTGTTTGTTACCAATGATCACATACCTTATCGAAATCCGGAAAGGCAAATTGCATTATTCAAGTAGTTTTATCATACGATCACGAGACGTCTTCGCTCTTTTATAAAGAATAAGGGTTTGATTCAAGTAGAAGACAAAAACCTAGATCGAATACGACATGTACGAGACTCTTATCGGTAACAGTAAACAACATAATACTGGGACGAGAAAATATCAGTTCATTGTTGCTTTAAGTTTAGCCAATTGACAAGTTGGTCATTTTGTGACGCGTTCTATAAACAAAGTAATCGTTAAATGTACGATTTCATATGATTTTTGTAATATAATGTCTACATGTACACCCTTCACCGAATCTATTTCATTTCTAATTTTATATCGATAACGTTATTAGATATAAGAAGATTTTTCCACTTATGTCCACCTCTACGTTATTTGCCATTTCGTGTTTGCCATTGTTTTCTTTCCATTTTATTACTATCAAACTTTACTCTGATATTTTTTAATTCTGTTCTATCTTTTGTTTTCAAAGCATGCATGTTTTGTCCTTATTCAAATGATTAACACATGTATCTAATAAACATCTGTCAATGGTTTACGCACATAACGCCTTGCTGACAATTCCAGCACTGGCTATCATTATGCTGTTTCCCTTTTAAGCTAACTGCGCACATCGAAATAAAGTACTGTCATTCACTCTTTTACGTTTTTTCTTTCAATAGCCACATATTTTATGCTTGATTTGAACTACTTTTTAAGTACTGTAACTGTTAATTGTCACAATACAACAAATTGTTCATTTATGTTCAAAGTTAAAGTGTATTTGTATTTGTGATTTAAAATATAAAACAACCCCTTATAAATGTCATTGTTAATTACCTAAAACCAAATAAGATCTTTTATTTAGTGCTAAGGAAGTTTTGACATCAATTTACTGAAAATTTACTTAATTCTAATGAAACGGTCAATCTTAACAACTCATACAGATGCGCAAAATACTGCCATCTGCGAAAGCACAGTTTTTTTTATCTCTCTTGTGTTTAAAAATTGCATATATGCAATATTAAGGTTCATGAAACAGAATTCTTAAAAGTGTTAAAATATTTAAAGGAAATAATACAAGCGCGCATTATGATTTTGGTGTGAATTCAGGGGAAAGCTTAAAAGTTAATATTTATATTATAACTGCATATCTGTCTATCAACTATTCTTATATACCTAACTGTTGTGTCATTATAAGCAATGACATAATTAAAAGACCTTATTTATATAAAGTCAATCATGAAAAGAAACAAAAAATATATACACAAATAAATAATATATCACTTAATGAAATGGGAAATGTTCACGAATTCTCATACTAGTATACAAACGAGAAAACTTGTGTTATTGGATGCTTCAACTGCATTATGCATTGTTCATTACTGAAATGCACAAATTCATCGACTACAGCACAAAGATTTAAAAATATCATAAACTAGTCATTGTAATGATCTTTGAGGAAGTAAAAAACCTTATAGGAATATCTAATTTTCTGATTATTGACATGTTACAGTTACATTGATTTTCAATTTATATATCAACTCCCTCAAACAAAGTTGACTCCAGATGCATTCGTCATCTTTTGGTCATAAAACTTTTCATGTATTCAGGTAGTTATACCTCCTTTGCTTTCATAATTTTGGTTTTGAATATTCACGATAAAGGTAATCAAGAAAACGCTTCGACCGCAACAAATTGAAAACAATATATATATATATTCATTAATTTGGTTTTTAAAATGCTAGCATCTTGCAATAATCATAATTATACTTCCTAAATAAACTACATTATTAGTAGTTTAAGGACGAAGATTACTCTGTAATTGTAACACCAGCATGACCACTTCAACCAATCAATATAATGAAAATTTTGTAACAGAATGCCTACCTTGACCAAACATACTACGTTTTTGCTGCTTACTAAGACTATATGTAACAATTAAATTTGCACAAACAAAACGTTTGATGAAGATACTATGGTTTTGAATTTCAATTATATGGTAGATGCAACACCTGATATTCTCATCAAGTGTTTTCATAAAACCATAGTAATGTTTTTCAAAAGGTGACTTCTGGGGCGTCATCTGTCCCTAATTGACTGAAGATTTGCATATTAAAAGGTGAAACGTGTACACACAGGTCATATTTATAGTTACAAATAAGTTTAACTTACGGTTAAATATTGTGTGACGCGTTCTATAAACAAAGTAATCGTTAAATGTACGATTTCATATGATTTTTGTAATACAATGTCTACATGTACACCCTTTACCGAATCTATTACATTTCTAATTTCATATCGATAACGTTATTAGATATAAGAAGATTTTTCCACGTATGTCCACTTCTACGTTATTTGCCATTTCGTGTTTGCCATTGTTTTCTTTCCATTTTATTACTATCAAACTTTACTCATCTTTTAAATCTGTTCTATCTTTTGTTTTCAAAGCATGCATGTTATGTCCTTATTGGAATGATTAACACATGTATCAAATAAACATATTTCAATGATTTACGCACATAACGCCTTGCTGACAATTCCAGCACTGGCTATCACAAATAAGTTCAACTTACGGTTAAATATTAAGAGAGCTTTGAATATTGAAAACCGTGGTTGAGTTTATTATAATTTCGAATTGGTTGTATGTCAACCAAACGAAAATTAATGAAATCTAGGGTCCTCAAAGCCCTTCATCTTCGTACTTAATTCGGCCTTTTAACTTTATTCATTTGAATAGCACTGATGAGTGTTTTAGACGAAACACGAGTTTGAAAAATGTCACTCGCTTACATAGAAGATGTCACTATTTCAATTTGAATTTCTACAATAGTATACATGCTTCTTTATATATTCTCGTTCTGCTGAAACCTGTTAGACATTTAAAAAATCTGTAAGGAATTACGAGTGTTATGCTTTGTAAAAATGTCCTAGAGAGCAAAAAACAATATTTCTTCGATTAATGTTAAAAGCGAACTTGATATGTTGCTGCAATGAAAGAATACAATGGAACCATATGTACGTTTAATAGGTCAGGTTTTGACAAATTTTCCAACTATTTAACTGTATAAATCACATTTTCATCACATAAACAAATTGTAATGAAAACTGTTTTTTTTTATTTTGTTTTTGTTGTTTTTCTACATTCGGATATTCTATTTTCAAAAAACATGCATCTGTAAAATGGGAACACCGTTCTAAGTTCTGATATTGAACAGTTTTAATCTATATGTAGAAACCAACATATTCAGACTTTAAAACTTTGATGTCTTTAATAAAGATGAAGGTTGTGATATTGTGTGTCCACTTGTTTAAGACCGTTTCAAAATATTTCGATGTATATAACGGTTGGTCGTGTAGGTTTCATATCCTTTTGATGACATGTTATTTTAATCATGATTTGCATGTGAACGAAACAAAATACATATTAAAAAAGCATTATTGGATTTTTGTCATTGTACATTGAATTGTCGAAATAATTATGAAATTAGTCATCATGTTTAAACATTATTCAAATGAACATTTGAATGATTTTATGTTCTAATGAAAATATTATTGTATGTCGGTATATTTTCAAATTTACTACACTTTACATACATTTCATATCAAAATAACTAATTATATTTATAGGTTCATCTCAGATTCCTCCTGGATCCCCAGTCATCGACGTACCTCAGGTCATTGTGTTGAATTCACAGATAACATTTCTATGTACGTCTCCTAGAGGTAGTCCAACACCGACTGTGAAATGGTTCAAAGACGATACGGAAATAACAACTGGTATTTCTACAACAACTTCTGGTACAGCAGTGACAACATCTCTAACGTTTACAGCTACTTTAGATGATCATTTAGAGATTTTTGAGTGCCAGGCAGAAAATGGTGTACTGCAAAACCCTCTTACTACTACTAAATACATTGAGGTTCACTGTAAGTTTAATTCTTAGATAAAAATATTTACTCTTGGATTTACGGGAAGATGAAGTTGGTTTGTAGTCAAGCAGTCTGTTACTCGTAAAACAGATTTCTAAACTTTCATTTGAGTAAACACGGAAGTGTTCTGTATAAAGTCATCTTACTTTGGATTTGCAAAATTCATTTGTAAGTGATCAAAAAGAACATACATATCTTTAGTAAGAGATTGTCTATGCGAGTAAAAGTTTTAAATTTTGAACTGCATGTTTGTTTAAGATTATATATTTTCATTATTATGGCATCTTGGAAAACGTTTAAACGGTTTTACCACAAGATTACAGTTCATTTTAGTAAATACAATAGCCTTGAAAGAAAGGATTAAACCTCGATAAGTTTAAAAAAGTAGCTTATCCCTTTTCATTGAGAATGAATTAATCTATTTTGTTGTATGTTATTTAACTCGTTCAAATCTATAACAAACCATGACAAAACTGATCGCGAAAGGGTGTAAGTGCAAAGTACAAAGAAACCAAACTGTGTACTGAAAACATTTTCGAGACAAGTGCAGCTCTCTGAACAATTATGTTCATCATATTCACAAATCAAATTGTTCAAAAGTTCCAGTGCTGCTGCAGGTTAGCTCATCAACCTTGGCATAAAAATGTCAATAGTTTTTTGGCAGGTACGTTTTTGTCATCTTTTTAACAACGCAAACTGTCCAGTGAAACACAATCCTTTTTACCATAAAGATCACCTATAAATGACATACAATGCTTAAATCGATCTGAAGTTAGATCTTAGGAACCCAATGTTGCAAGACCATTATAAGAACTGGCTCTTTGTTTTGCAAGACCATTATAAGAACTGGCTCCTTGTTTTAGCAGTCGAATAGCTGACTTCTTTCCATGACCTAAAAACGAACTTGTGGTGTCACAACCAGTCACACAGTACACTTGAAGAAGCAAGCGTTTTTGTGAAGGTGTTAGTTCCTTAATTATATCATCAACTGAAAGGTGTCGTACTAAGCCAGCATGCTTACCTACTCCACCCGTCAGAAAGTACACATCTACATTTGTTTTTAATTGTCTGTGATTTATAAGAAGCACCAGAACATCTGAATCAGGACTGGAGATAACAATTTTGTCAGTTGGTTGACTAACTGAATAGATAGCATGCAATACGATACCGATATCGGCTTCCTCTTGGTTTGACTTGAGCTCTGCAACATTCGTTACTGACACAAGTGTGATCAGTAAATTTTGTTCATTTTGCAAACGAATTTCATTATTAGAAATGTATCATAAAATTCAGCAAGGTTTGCTTCATTTTCTCCATTTCCTAAATATTGTTTCCAATTCGATCTTCATCTAATTGCTGAATTACATTAAGCAACTGTTTAGCTTTACGAAGAGCATCTCCGACAGTAATTTCTGCAGAGCACACTAAATCAGAACAAGGAGTCCTGGGGAATGAATGACCCTTCTGGGTATTTAGAAATTAGCGTAGCTTTTAATCATTGAGATCTGTATTGCTGAGCATTTAGAACATTGCTTTTTGCAAGTTCAACAAAGTGAGACAGTAAGGTAGACATTTAATAGACCTGTTTATGCTACAATGTTTGATCTTACTTCAGTCATTAACTCTCTCAGTACTTCATCATATCTAGTCTGTGTTTCTGAAACATTTTTAATAGCTGCTTCAATACTTTTTTGGTTTAGATATGATGCAGTACAAATCTTTTTCCTTGATTCAATTGCAACCAAGTCCCTATTGGGTACTTCACTCAAACGAAGAAGCATTGCTTTGTCCTTTCTCTCATTTGCAGCACGGTAAAGTTTTGTAAAGATAAAATTTGAAATAAAGCCTTACGAGGATTCAACCATAGACCATTCTTGTTTCCTTGATCTTGAACAAAGTTTACCGCATATAACACACGTGTTTTTCCAGATAAAAGACAACTGTCTTGAACGGCGGGATATTTGCTCATCCGTACGTTCAGCACTTGTACCAGGATAACTTTTTTGAGAAAACGCCGAATATGCTCAGGGCTAGCATATGAAGCCCTACAGCTTTTATGGTACTTAAACGTTATCTCCTGTTCTCTTATCTGTTTTGCATGCAGTATTAATTGTCTACCTACACTATTTTGCCTTGTTCTACATGCCTCAAACAAAGTATGCAGGCGATAGATATCTAGTAGAACTACATCAAACTCATTTTTGAAGGGTTTTGAACAAAAGACACACAGTGATAGATCGAATAAATCGATTTTATGGCACTTTGTTTTGAGAGTCAAGTCAAAGGAAGCTTCCGACTTGAGCTTGAATCAACAATACCGTATAGCAGTATGAACGCGTTATAATGATAATCTTGATCTTTTTACATATTTAAATAAAAATATGTATAAAAAATTTGAAGGTAGAAAAGCATTAGAAAATGTATAGCCGACCATATGGACTGCAAACATCATGAGCTTTTAAAATTAGCCCCTCGATTTGAATAAAATAAGCAAATATTATACTCACAATATTGTAATGAGTTGATTGTTAATTTACAAAACAATTTTCATTTAAGTCCACTTATCTAATATATGAATGAACACTGCATTTCAATGTTTCTTAAGAACAAACCACCAAAGGTGACACGAGAATAGAAATATGGTCACTACAGGTCTTTTTCCGACGGCAGTAAAACTTTTGCCAAAGGGGGGCGTCCGTTGGCCGTGCGGGATGTACAAGTACGCAGCCACTTCCTGTCAGAATGGGGACGTTAAATCAGATGCCTCGTGAAGAGAGCGTGCCACGCTCTCTGCAAGTTAAGAACCCTTGTAACAACTCTTTGAGGGGTCCGTAGGTGGCCTGTTGCAAGGCAAAATATCTGTTCCTATCCAATATACCCTCATTTTTCAATGGCAGTCTAAACTTCCCCCGATCTTCATCAAGGATGGCCTCTATTACAGGACCTACCTATTGTATTTATTGTTAATTTGTTTTCATCCTGAACATGCATGATACATTTGCAATTGAACGTTAGGCAACCAACAAGTAATCAATCAATCATAAGAACTAAGAAAGCAGTAATTTAGCTACCATAACGACAAAAAATAAGTATTTTGCAGGTTTTCTTATTTATTTAGTTGCATATTTTTTTTATTTTTATGTAAAAAGGTAGTTTTTGAAGAAGACAAAAATCGATTTCCATTCTTTTTTTTAACAGTTCATAATCTTATACATTAATTTCGGTATTAAAACAAACATAATTGATACATTCCAACAGCTGAAACTTTTCAAGATTTTATGTCTTTGAAAGTTATTGATTTTCGCATGAAATTGTCAATTTTTTCACAATGCGAAAACCCATAACTGTCACTTGAAATTTCAAATTTTCGGTTTTCAAAGATGTCTTTATATACATTTTCATCGAAAACAAAAATATTAATATATATATATATATATAGTGGTCTTTTATGGTAGCATATCATGCATAATTTGAAAACTATTTTTTTTTGTGTTTTTTGCACCGAAAATGTAGATTTTACCCATTTTTTTTAATGTTTTAAGGACCTAAACTTGGTAAGTTTATTTTATTTGTCTAGTAAAAGCTATTACAAACAATTTGGTTTTTGATCAAGTAAATCAGGCTTTAATTCACATTTAAATAAATTATTTCAAGTTTTTTACTAAAAAACGTTTTTTTTTAACTAAAAAACGTGTTTTGTTTTTTACTAAAAAACGTGTTTTTTTTTGTTTAAAAGCTCTTGTTGTACACAAATCCACAAATTTTCTGATTCCTGCCTTGAAGACGAACATTTTCATATGTCTTGCCTAAAGTTTTACTGCCACGTCAATGATGACATTTTTAACCGGACTCAGCTGCTCTACTAATTTTGTTTTCAATTTAGACTTATATATATATAATATATATATATACAACTCTAAATTGAAAACAACGTTCAAACCATTGATTGCGTTTGATAAAAACCGCAATATTTATACGTGTGCATGCAAATCAAATTTCTTGGTAGAGGGGTCTAAATACAGCACAAACAACATTTTCCATAAGACCAAAACGTGAAAAAGTATATTTCAACAAAACGCATTTGACTAACAGGTCGAACAACGGATTTTCTTAAACCCTGCTGACTGCCATGGCGATTGCCAAATAAACGGTTCACAAGATGTAACAAAATGGATCTTAATTATTAATTTAATACCAAACAGAAAACAATAAACTTGCGGAAAAGATGGTATACCGCAAACATGAGGAGCAAAAATTTGTACACCATATCCGGATTTCGACAATTAATATCTCTGCAGTGATGTTAAATATCGAAACGGTATTTGGAAGGCCATATCGACTTCTGAATATTCCTCTTACAACTTACAATACCCCTCTTCTTTAAATAGGTAGTATCATCTAAGTTGACAATTTTTTATAAGGATACAATTCTTATGTTTAAAAAATAAGGCATGAAGATTATTTGGGTGCCAGTCTTTACGTTCTTTTCATGATATTTGATCTTTTAGCGGTAAGTTAGTTTTTTTTTCGGTCAAACAATAATTCATTTGAAAACCCGTTTTATTCATATAACCAGGATCGACCTTATAATGTTCATGCGTACAACGTCCTCTTAGAAAATAAAACATGATTACCAAAATAACATGGAATCGTGATAGACCAACAATTTTAACAAAATCGGCTCGACACTTTTGAAAATATAATAATTCTTTTGATTTATAATAAAAAGAAAAATATCAAAAATACCAAACTCCGAGGAAAATTCAAAACGGTAAGTTCCTACTCAAATGGCAAAAACAAAAGCTCAAACACATCAAACGAATAGATGATAACTAAAATATCATCATCAAAAGAAAGTGTCAGGCAAATGAAAATATTTGATTTCGAATATTGAAGTGAAATCAAAGTTATTTATACCAAATACCTTATTTACCTGTGCTAACCCAAGCTTTTGTTGAGGTCAACGCACGTGACGTGATTATATATTCTTTTATAATGAATGAGTCCTATTCTAACAGATGACTAAAGGAAAAATAGGGTAATTTCTCTAAATTACCTCCATTAAAGTGCTAAAAATGACATGAAACAGGTTTTTCTCATTGATACGGCTTTAAAGTTTTAATCTTAAAATATGATTGTCGTAGTTACTGCCTCTTAAATTATGATAAATTACATGTAATGAATTCTAGATATCAACAATAATCGAGGTGTTATCCAACTATAGAAAAACTGAATGATCTATGTTTGCATATGGCCGTATGTTTGTCAACCCTAAGGCTGTTTTTAGAACAATATACATTAACTGCATAATGAAATGATGAATACATTTTCCTTGATCTAAAAAAGATTAATACGTCTTTATTTTGAGCATATTAATATCAATCCTCTACGAAATATTTTCTTTTATAGCATTTTTTAACTCCTTTTATTTTTGTTTTTATTTAAAGTAATGTAATTTTCATGAAATGTTGCGCAATTCACATCTTCATTTGGGAAAAAGAGTTTTCTGTTCTTTAAGGGAGTTCGCTTCTCAGTTTCAAAATAATTAACTTTTCAAAACAAAACATGACAAGCAAACATCCTTAAGGTTGATATGGTATTTAGATTTTTTTTCATACAAGAACCAGAAAATGGCATTTGGTTGAATTCTAGCAAAATATAGGAATTACATCCTTGACCTTTGACCTTGACTTAACAGAAATTGTATCGTTATTTTTCTACAGAAAGTACAGATAATAAGCTTTCGAATGATATATATTATAGCCGTTTTATGTGGATGCATTACATTCCTGAACTAAGAGTCTTTTTGAAAACAATGTACTCGCTTATTCAGTGAAAGATTTATGTTTCCTGTCAGTTTCCAATTTTTCGAATTTTGAGCTAGTATTTTCTAGTCTAAAAAGTATAACTACTACAAAATATTGTTTTGAAAAGCTTTTCACTTGACGGAATATGATACTTAGATTATAATGCCAATATTAACATATGATTGGTGATTTAAAATATAAAAGACGCATTTCTTTTTACTGTATAAGTTACTACAAATGTATGTGTTTCCTGGTGTTGGTGTAATAACCTGTTATGTTACATACTATATTATCCGTTGTTTATGACATCTGTGGAAGATACCCTTGCATTGGCTGGTTTTGTAGCTATTGAAGCACAGTTTCTCTTTTTACTTAATACAAGTAACATTTCAAAGTGGACAGCTCATGACAAAAATACACCACCTCCATGTACAATAACTGAACTAAACACTGTAAATATTCAAAAAATAAGGGAAACAATTACAAGATAAAAGTATAAGATGGAACTCTCATTCAAATTCTTGGCAATTTTATTCAGATCATTTGTTTACAGGAGTTTCCAATAATATGCATAGATTAATAGCAATGAAAATACGCACACTTTTATAAATTTACAGTAAATTTTCAAGAAAGACAACATAGCTTTTGAACGGCTATTTTATCTGGCAAATACAATATGCAATCGTTTTTATTTTAATTGATTACTCATCAATTACATATGTTTAATAGTTTCACCACAAGCCCTAATTTTAACTGGACCAACCACTTTCATACCAGGACAATCAGGCACAAGGCAAATATTGATATATCTGAAGAATGTCCTTCTGTAGCCATAGAAGTAAAGTACTTCTTTTAAAAGATACTTCAAACTAGATAGATCATAACAAAAGTATACCATCATAATTTACAATATTAATACTAAATACTGGACATAAACAGAAGTGTTTGAAGTGGAGGTATAAGATTGAACTTTCAGTCATATTCTTGAAAACTCTTCTTCGATCATTTGTTTGCAACATTTTTATTTTTAAATGCATAAATTGACAGCAATGAAAATCCAAATTAGATATAAAATGACAACTGTTACAGAGCTTCTGAACAGCTATTTAATCTAGTCAAAACAATATGCAATCGTTTTATATTGATTTCTTATCAACTACATATGTTTAATAGATTCACCACATGCACCAACTTTGACTGCACCAAGTACTTTTACTCCAGGACAACAAGGCATGTGGACATGTATTTCGGCCAATGGTTATCCCGCTGGTATAATGACCATGCGAAATAAAAATAAAAATACTCAGTTTACATCTGAGTTTACATCTTTCAGTGTACTAAATAAAAAATCCTATGATGTTACTGGTACCCTTACCTGGAGCCCAGTGATTGTTAACAATGGGGACACCATTTGCTGCGATGTAACACATACAACCACACTTGGCATTACTCCACAGACAGTGTGCAGACAAATTACAGTTGCTCGTGAGTATTTTCAATTTGAAATTTTACAGCTTATGTATTCCCGAGAATACATGAATCATTTATGTTTGCTAATTTAACCCGTAACAAGCAATGTTACCTTTGTTCTCAATCTGTTAAAAGACTAAACTATTTTCGGTCAAAGATCTGCAAACGACAAAAAGATATACAAATTAATTCGGTCAGTTGATTTCTATGAACCGTCAACACTTGATAGGAAAGTATTATTAAATTGGCTTTTAACAAAATTTAAGTTATAGTTTGCAATAGTAATGGTTTACTGAAAAAATGTAAGAATTGTAAAACTCACTTTTTTATTACCTTTATGAAATTTAGTTCTTAAAAATATAATAATTAATAACAGGGGGCCAAGACTAATGCTATAATCTTTGTAAATTAGTAACACAGCAGTTTTGTTTTAATGTATAATTGTAAAAAAAAATGTCATTAATAATCAGTTTAAACAGTTATTTTCTGAATTCTCAATCATCGATAACGTATGTATGGGTCACATTACAAAATAAACAAGTATTTATCTAAAACACTCAAATAGTTTAACGGTTACAAATACATATTTGTTAACATTTTATAATGACTAGATACAAAGATACTAACATGTCTGCAATGTTTTTGTTTAGTGACAATTATATATTAGAGAGGCGAAAGATAGCAAAGCGATATGCAAAGACGAAATCAAAAAGACAATGGCACAGCAAAAACAAGAAACGACCAAAAGCAAACAACAGTACACACAAAACAATAATAAAAAAACAACAAGACAAACCAAAAAAAAAAAAAAAAACCGGGGTGATATATGTAGCTACGGAAGGGTAATCAGAAAGCTTATCGGGAACTTATCTGTACAATTGCACACCATACTTATTTGTTTGGTTGCTGTTTCTTCGATATTCGCAAAACAAGCACTAATATTTGGTTTAATGCTTATTATCTGTAGAACCTATTGCAATTAACGCTCCCGTGACCCAGTATAATCCAATTCTACAGTCCTCGGTTACTCTGCAGTGTGATGTAACTCAAGGTACTGCATCCCAAATAATATGGATTAAAGATAACGTTCAACTGAATATAGGCAGTAATTCACGACTTTCTGGTGGTACTGTCGCAACTGAATCTCTGACAATTGCCAATGTACAAATGTCTGATAGTGGGAACTACCACTGTCGAGGCATTGATGCTGTCACTGGTAACATTGTAAATACAGATACCATTAATGTTAACACTGTTGGTAAGTGCCTTTATGCATTAAGCTTTTTAAGTTAAAAAATTGTCAACCTATAAAGAGGGAAATAAGAAAACTCGGTAACAACATTGTAGTTATTTATATTAGAATAACTAAGTCTTCTTTTCTGTACCATTATCAGATAAAACAAGATCAATACGGAGTCTGGACCTGCGTCGCTGCCTGTAATTGATTGAGATATCATGTATGCTGAAGCATTCCAGATCATTCCCTTTCATTAAATACAAAACTAGATGTGAAGAAACTTTTCATGCACAGTTAGTGTTGTAAAATTTCAAAATATCGGGAAACAGGAAGTGGCTGCATGGCGGATGTAGAAATTTATCACGCCTTACAAATTACTATAATGAAGCTGAAGACAATAAATAAAATCATCCCTTCAAAAAGAGTCATAAAAAGTTTGACGAAAATTTTTCGTGTACGACATGTACAATGAGTACTGTAAAATTTCATAATATCGCAAACAGGTAGGTCCTGACAGGTGAATGTTAACATTGCCTACTCTCTACAAGTCATCATTATGTAGCTGCAGACCAAATATTAAACCATTCCCTTCAATGGGAGCTTAGAACATTTTGTGTACAATGAATGTTGTAAAAATCTTAAACTATCGTCAAACAGGAAGTGAATGCACGGTCGATATAAAAAACGCTTACTCGATACAACTCAATATCAAGCATCATCCAAATATTAAAACCATTTCCCTTAATTGAAACCAATAAGAGTTTGGCGAAAGATTTCCCTTTTACAAGGAAAAGTGCAAAATTTCAAACAATCGGCAACAAGGAAGTGGTTGCACGGCGGATGTAAAAATTGCTTACTCGTTACAATTTACCATCACCAAGATGCAGACGGAAGATTTCTTCCCAGTGTCTTTCCAACGGAAGGACAGACAGACAGACGAATGGACGGAGTCGAAAGGTTACTAGACCTACTTTCGCCATAGAAACGATGGTAAAACAGGGTTGTCATTAAGGGTATCAATTTGGCGCCATATTGCAAAGATCAACATATCCTTCATAGCAAACAATGTATGACTGTTGTTTTGATGACCTGTATAAATTTAACTGATTGAGATTTCTCTATTGCTAATTGAAACGAAAAAGTGATGAATTAAGCTGTTTGTTATTTTATTTTTATATATGCAAGGAAAATGTTTTAATTCATATATAATTCACAAGCCTTGCTGAAGTGCTACTGGTATTCAAACCATTGGTTCGCTAGTACACAAGGTCAAGTATCTTCCATTTATACTTCGATTTTACAAAGCAGCAGACAAGATTTTTTTATCAGATATTGTTGAACATGTCAAATGATAGTATATTTTTTCAACCAATGCAAACAACAGTATGAGCTATTTTCGTAAATGTGCATCCATTGTACAACATATTTGTTTGTGTACACTGGCCTTTTTGGAAATGTTGATTTTTTACAATTACTTTTATTTGCAAATCCAAGAGACCAAATAAAACTGAACCCTTCATACCTTGATATTAAAAAGAACCACTTATTATGCTTTGAATGTATAATGATATACATATATTATATAAAGATAATGTCCGTCATTCCGTTTATTAGTTTGGTTCCAATATGAAATCAGGGAAGGTCGCCATAGTGGAGCAAAATATGAAAAACAAGAGATCATTACATAGATGTCATTTTCAGTTCAAACTTGTTTGTTGTTGTTATTTAAATATATATATATATATATATATATATATATATGATTACCCATTAGACCATATCTAAGAAAATCTCATTGACAAAGATCAATTGTGAATAATAACTTAAAATTATACAGCCTTCAACAATACATCAAATCCATGCTTTAAACTATAAGCTAGACTTTACAAACACAACATAATGACCAAATTTGAAACTATTAAGAAGAATAAACCAGTAGCTAACAGCCTGAACTAAATGACACAATGAAATGTAGAGCAATAATTGAACCCAAGCAACTACCAAAACCACTGGATTACAGGTTGCCATCTTTGAACAGACACATTAAATATTTTACAGGTAAACTATTTTTGTGGGTCGTCAACACTACCCAAACCTTGTTTTCTATGTAACTGAAAGTAAGGGTGAAGCCATTTCTATTCATAAACAACAATATTCCATCGGAGAAAAATATCAATAAATACACCCCAACGGACTCAGTATGACAATGTCATGAAAAGCATGACCATGAATGCTTCTATATGATTGATGTTTCTATATGATTTTTGTCGAGCCTGCGACCTCTGTCGCAGAAAGTGAGACATAGGGATAGTGATCCAGCGGCGGTGTCAGCGACGACTGCGGCATTAACTAAATAATTTAAAGCTTAATATTTCAGAAGGTAGAATACCTGGATTCTTCTTACTTTGTATATAGATGCCTTATGTTATGAGTTTCCAACTATCATATGTCCATTGTCATTGATGTCATTTTTTATTGTAATCATAATTTCTTTCTTGTTATGAGTAATGGGATAACTATATTTGTTATGTGCGTACTTGCAAGGCCCCCGTGCCTGTCAGACAGTGTTCATTTGACCTGGACCTCATTTCATGGATCAGTGAACAAAGTTAAGTTTTCGTTGTCAAGTCCATATCTCATATCCTATAAGCAATTGATCTACTATATTTCGTGTATGGAATTATTGTAAGGTGTACATGTCTAACTGACAGGTGTCATCTGACCTTAACCTTGTTTTCATGGTTTTAATGGTTAAAGTTAAGTTTTTGTATTTTGGTCTATTTTTCTTATACTGTATGCAATAGGTCAACTATATTTGGTATTTGGAAATATTTTACAATGTACATGTCAGTCTGGCAGGTTTTATATGATCTTAACCTCAATTCATTACGGTTCATTGCTAAATGTTAAGCTTTTTGTGTTTTGGTCTGTTTTTCTTAAACTATTAGCAATAGGTCAATTATAGTTAGTGTATGGAATGATTGTAGGGTGTATATGTCTGTCTGGTTGTTATCATCTGACCTTGACCTCATTTTATAGTTCATTGATCAATATCAAGTTTTCCTGGTTAAGTTGTCTTTCAGATACGTTTTGCACTAGGTCAACTATATTAAATCATGGAATGATTGTAAGGTGTACAAGTTTGTCTGGCAGGATTCATCTGACCTTGACCTCGTTTTCATGGTTCATTTGTCAATGTAAAGTCTTCATAGTTTGATCTGTTTCTTGTATACGATAAGCAATAGGTCCACTATAATTGGTGTATGGAATGATTGTCAGTTGTAGATGTATTTCTGTCTTAGTTTATCTGACCTTGACGTCATTTTCTTTGGTCTTATTAAGTTTATGTGATACTTGTAGTAACTTTATATTTATGACTATCAACATAAAAATCAATGATCAGTAAAACGAATGGACGGAGTCGAAAGGTTACTGGACCTACTTTCGCCTTAGAAACGATGGTAAAACAGGGTTGTCATTAAGGGTATCAGTTTGGCGCCATATTGCAAAGATCAATTTATCCTTCATAGCAAACATTGTATGAATGTTGTTTTGATGACCTGTATAAATTTAACTGATTGAGATTTCTCTATTGCTAATTGAAACAAAAAAGGAATGAAGTACGCTGTTTGTTATTTTATTTTTATATATGCACGGAAAATGTTTTAATTCATATATAATTCACAAGCCTTGCTGAAGTGTTACTGTATTCAAACCATTGGTTTGCTAGTACACAAGGTCAAGTATCTTCCATTTATACTTCGATTTTACAAAACAGCAGACAAGATTTTTTTTATCAGATATTGTCGAACATGTCACATGATAGTATATTTTTCTAACCAATGCAAACAACAGTATGAGCTATTTTCGTAAATGTGCATCCATTGTACAACATATTTATTTGTGTACACTGGCCTTTTTGGAAATGTTGATTTTTTACAATTACTTTGTGATTTGCAAATCCAAGAGACCAAATAAAACTGAACCCTTCATACCTTGATATTAAAAAGGAACCACTTATTATGCTTTGAATGTATAATGATATACATATATTATAAAGATAATGTCCGTCATTCCGTTTATTAGTTTGGTTCCAATATGAAATCAGGGAAGGTCGCCATAGTGGAGCAAAATATGAAAAAACAGAGATCATAACATAGATGTCATTTTCAGTTCAAACTTGTTTGTTGTTGTCATTTAAATATATATATATATATATATATATATATATATATATATATATATATGATAACGAAATGATTTTATGGAAATAAGTAGAAAATTCTAAAAATGTTCATAACAGTTTATGACTTAATTAATTTTTTGGATCAATAATATCCCAGAAAGAAACACGATATAAATATCTATGAATACACATTAACAGAATATCGATAAAATTTACAGTTAAAATCATGATATTCAATGTACATTTATAATCATTTTAGGAACACCACCTGTAGCATCCATTCCACAGACATCATATTATTCAGTGACCGGGCAACAAATTATTCTTGGGTGTACAGTCAGCTCACCAAACAGTCCTTTACAGGATGTTCAGTGGACATTTATCAATAATGGAGGACAAGTGACAGATCCTATCCTCGTTTCAACTTCAAATGGAAAGTATTCAGGTTCAACAATCAATAGTCCATCTTTGACAATCAACAATATCGCAAGCACGGACGCAGGAACGTACAGCTGTAAGGCCAGAAATCTGGTTGGAACCAGCACAAATAATCCAACAACAACTCTTACTGCAAACGGGAGTATGTTTATTCTATATTGTAGAAGTTTATTTTAAAAAAAGGAGATGTGGTATGATTACCCATTAGACCATATCTAATAAAATCTCATTGACAAAGATCAATTGTGTATAATAACTTAAAATTATACAGCCTTCAACAATACATCAAATCCATGCTTTAAACTATAAGCTAGACTTTACAAACACAACATAATGACCAAATTTGAAACTATTAAGAAGAATAAACCAGTAGCTAACAGCCTGAACTAAATGACACAATGAAATGTAGAGCAATAATTGAACCCAAGCAACTACCAAAACCACTGGATTACAGGTTGCCATCTTTGAACAGACACATTAAATATTTTACAGGTAAAATATTTTTGTGGGTCGTCAACACTACCCAAACCTTGTTTTCTGTGTAACTGAAAGTAAGGGTGAAGCCATTTCTATTCATAAACAACAATATTCCATCGGAGAAAAATATCAATAAATACACCCCGACGGACTCAGTATGACAATGTCATGAAAAGCATGACCATGATTGCTTCTATATGATTGATGTTTCTATATGATTTTTGTCGAGCCTGCGACTTCTGTCGCAGAAAGTGAGACATAAGGATAGTGATCCAGCGGCGGTGTCAGCGACGACTGCGGTATTAACTAAATAATTTAAAGCTTAATATTTCCGAAGGTAGAAAACCTGGATTCTTCTTACTTTGTATATAGATGCCTTATGTTATGAAGTTTCCGTCTATCATATGTCCATTGTCATTGATGTCATTTTTTATTGTAATCATAATTTCTTTCTTGCTATGAGTAATGGGATAACTATATTTGTTATGTGCGTACTCGGAAGGCCCCCGTGCCTGTCAGACGGTGTTCATTTGACCTGGACCTCATTTCATGGATAAGTGAACAAGGTTAAGTTTTCGTTGTCAAGTCCATATCTCATATCCTATAAGCAATTGGTCTACTATATTTCGTGTATGGAATTATTGTAAGGTGTACATGTCAGTCTGGCAGGTTTTATATGATCTTAACCTCAATTTATTACGGTTCATTGCTAAATGTTAAGCTTTTTGTGTTTTGGTCTGTTTTTCTTAAACTATTAGCAATAGGTCAATTATAGTTAGTGTATGGAATGATTGTAGGGTGTATATGTCTGTCTGGTTGTTATCATCTGACCTTGACCTCATTTTATAGTTCATTGATCAATATCAAGTTTTCCTGGTTAAGTTGTCTTTCAGATACGTTTTGCACTAGGTCAACTATATTAAATCATGGAATGATTGTAAGGTGTACAAGTTTGTCTGGCAGGGTTCATCTGACCTTGACCTCGTTTTCATGGTTCATTGGTCAATGTAAAGTTTTCATAGTTTGATCTGTTTCTTGTATACGATAAGCAATAGGTCCACTATATTTGGTGTATGGAATGATTGTCAGTTGTAGATGTATTTCTGTCTTAGTTTATCTGACCTTGACATTTTCTTTGATCTTATTAAATTTATGTGATACTCGTAGTAACTTTATATTTAGGACTATCAACATAAAATCAATGATCAGTAAAACAGGCGAGACATTTCAGCGTGTGCATTCTTGTTTATATATGAATGTGTTGCGATAAGGAGACAACAGGTTATGCTTAGAAAATATAAATGTCCTTGCAGCAAGCAATATTATTGTAAGTAGATGTACACGTGTAAGATAATATTTGTGAACGACTTCTCATGCGATGGAATTGACTTTTCTGTTTTATATATTAAGTAAATCTCAAAGATTGACATACAGAATTGGCTGCTAGCAAATTACTTTCATCAACTTATTTGTACATATAATTAGAAATGAATACATTGTAATACATGTAATTATTGTTATTTTACACAAAGCATATTTTTCTCTTAAATGAGGGAAAACAAAATTTTCTTGATGACACATTTAAGTAAAGTGTAAATTATGGACTATACGATTATGTCATTTAAAGTTTTGATCGATTGTGTAAAATCTGTGTTAATTGCCTTGAGTGAGTTTATTTTTTCTTTCCCATTTTTTATACAAGGTCTGCCTGTAGTCCAGATTAATCCTTCGACCTACACAGCAACATATGGAAGTCAAGTGGTAATTAATTGTAATATCGTATCTGCTAGTCCTGCAGCAACTCAAGTTTACTGGCAGAGAAATTCCGATAATCAGGTTCTACGAATTGACAATGGAGACCAGGGATATCAAGGCAGTACAACATCTACACCTTCATTAACCATTAATTTTGCTACAACAGCTTATGCAGGAGTATACACATGTTTTGCTACAAATGTTGTAGGAACTGGCAACAGTAATCTTGGAACTGTTACGATAACTGGTGGTAAGTACTTGTATATCAACAGAATGTCTTAATATAGGATGAATTCAGATTCTCAATTGTGAATTTTCATTCTCCACGTAGCAACGTTTCAGCAAACCCTCGCTAAACGATATCAAACTGGTATCAAGTCCTTTTAAACTTTAATGTGCCGGCCTCTTTGAACTGTTAATCACTCAAGCCGAAAAGCAACAGCGATTATCTATCGCAAATCCGTTTCAAACGTTACCGATTTTAGTCAGATGATATACCTCCAACAAATGTTCATAAATAAAAGGAATTAATGACAAATACATATGTAAATTAAGTAACTTATGGTTATTAGTGCCAGATCATATTTAATATGCAGCAAAAAAGCAAATCAGTTAAAAATAAAATTTAAAAATGAATAATATAATTTTAGATTGTCCGCATGTAGTAGCTCTAGTTAAGAAAGATTGTTGATAAGTGATATGGAAACTAGTGTCATATTAGTAAGTGTGGTCTCTAACAATAGTTGATAAACATAACGAGAAAGTGAGTCAGAAGGTCTTAATTGCACGTTTTTTGGAATGGGAAAGACAGTAAAAAACCAAAATGATTAATGGATTAAAAATTAAAACCAATCTGTACTTATTTTGATGATTTTCCTATTATATACATTTCTGCTGTTGATTAATTTGTCATTTTTTGTGCATCCAATTAATGTATTTCGGTAATATTTACTTTTTCTCTTTGTTCGTTTTCTTATTTTTTATTCGTTATCTAAAAATCAATATAGGGACAGACGTAAAAGGAACATCAGGTGTTCATTGTTTATATCATTTTAAAGTAAAATAAATACTTTTACAAATACCGACAATTCAAACAGTATGAAAATAAAGAAATGTGATATGATTGCCATTTAAACAAATATCCATTAAATAGGCAATTGTATGGCCTATTGTTATCATAAGTAATTATTAAAATAAAATATTTGTTTATCAAATAGAAATATTGATTGTGAAAATGTTGAAATAATTGAATTTATTCCGTAAACAAGATAGTCTTGTTGAAAGTTGTAAGTGAATTATCAAATTAATCTACATTGAGATCTCTGTTAAAGTTGTAATATTTGACAACGGTGCAAAAGGTGAGTTCACATCAGAAAAGGTTGAATATATCAATATGGAACTTACAAAAAATATCGTGCAAACAAGGTACATGTACCTCGCTGTATTCAGCAAATAAATCCATTCCCCGGAGTCTATTTTAACAATATATCTAGGAATAATATATTTTAGCTTCAACAATAGAAAATATGCCTAAGTCTAAATTGTCCGCCTCTAGAAAAGTTGTAAATGCATGAAACAGTCTGGATTTAAAGATCAGGCAACTATTACCTTTCCCATAAATTACAACGTAGAAATGATTATACATTTTATTTTTTTTTTAGGGGGGGGGGGGGGGAGATTTTACACCAACTTCTAAGTGTGATTAATTGAATAGTGAAAGGTCCATAAAAGAATAAGTTATAGCAATAAGTAAACCTATAGAGTCATTTTAAAAATATTTCAGAATTCACCTGAGCAGATCACTTATTGTTTCGTGAAGGACAGACATGCAAAGTTATTACATTTTATGAATTGATGTACTGAAATGTCCGTCACAATTTAGACAACATAAAACTAAGGAGTTGTTGTAGGATTATCAATGATACAACTGTCCATCAACTCAAATGCAAGGATTGCAACAGATACATGTCACCGTTACATTAGATGTACGAATTTTCTTTTATACTTAGTCTGTGTGTTTGATTTAATCCACTTAAAATTGTAAAAAAATTTAAAATGATTGATTTTATTTTGTATACTCCCGTTTACGGGCCGTATTATTGTATACCGTTGTACGTCTGTCGGTCAGCGTCAACATATTGGACAATAACTAAAAAAAACTTTCTCATGAAAATTTGGTGAATAGTTTATATTTATTGATGTAATATCCCTTTCGATTTTTATAAATTTTAGATTTTGAATTAATTTTTCGAGTTATGGGATTTTATTCATAGAAAAGGTGGATTTTCCAGTTTTTGGACATTAGCTCAAAAATGCTTTGAACAGTTTTCATGAAACTTTGTTGATTGGTTTATATCTATAAAAAAAGCTCCCTTTATGTTTTTTTTTATAAATATCTGATATGACATGGAGGAGTTCTGGAACTTTATTCGTAGAAAAAGCGACGGGCGTATCATGCGCTCATTGCACAGCTCTTTATTTCTGAAATGGCTACCAAATATTCATATTTTTACGTACACTATAATTACTGTGCATCAAAATTTTGAACTGCTAATATTCAATAATTGGAATTATTTGAACATGTCTTATAGGTGAGGCAAACATTTTTGAAAACGTCCAGCAATTGTTATAAAATACTTTTGAAAAAAATTGCTGAATAGAAGGCCGTTAAATTTCGGGAGGGGAATACTTATTTGAGGAAACGTGAACGAAGGAACGTGCCACAAGTAATCAACCGTGATTTTTTGTCAATACCTGCTTTTAACAAAATGGTCATAACTAATGAACAATGTCGCATAGATAGAATAGTTTTGTGATGACGACAACACCGAGATTACACAATAAATATTCGATATTGTCAATCATAACACATATTCTTATTTGTAGATTAATCATGTCAAAATAAGAAAAATAAAAACGAAATATAAAATACTGTGTGAATAATGCGATTTTAATGACGTAATCAATGTCGAGTACATATACGAATACGCTATATGAATAAAATGAGATGTGATAGATACGTCACGGAGACAGCAACTCAACAATACAACTAACCAAAAGCCGTCAACAATAGACTGTGTACAAAATATTTAGTTCAAACATACACTTTGTATTTTATTGTCTAAATAAACAATAGGATTGGATACAAGTTATAACAACTAAGCATTATCCTCCTCAAATAATTACAATATACAAAATTTCAAGATGACAGCAATTATATAATTAAGGACATTATAAAAGATATATTCAACAACACTTACCGTTATCTTGAAAATATTTTTTCGTTAAATATTCATAACACTCTTAAAATACTTTCTAAATCAAATATGTGTTGCAATGAGTGTCCTTTCCTAGCTTTAGACATTTCAGTTTTACACCAGAAACTCTACACAAAAATTTACGACAAAAGGGATGATTTTCTTTCCCTATTGTTAATTTTCCTTCTTTTTGGATGTCATGTTCCTCTGGCATCGTCTAACGGTGTTTATATATCCCAACTCGTTCGCTATCGGCCTAACCACAATCAGATGTACATTTGTGTTTTACATGAAGTCAAAAATAAATATCACATCAGGAAAAATCCCTTTTGATATTGTGGTTCAGATATGGTTTAAATTATGAAAAATAGCCGTCATAAGGCTAACACTTGAAGCATATATATAATTACATGCAGTTTTTGGAAGAAATATTCAATATTTGTATTAAATACCAGGTGTTTAAAAACTGTCAAACTTTCTTTAATGATTGCCTTCAAGACATGGTCACCAGTTTTAGATTTTTGGCCAATGACAAGGACAACAAAATATGTTTAGAATAATTGGATATCAAACATTTTAATCGAAAAAAATAAAATGGCAAAAACATGTTTAACTCACAATTATTTCAAACAACAGTAGCTTTCATTGAGCATTACTCTGATCTGATCAAACTATATCTAAACTAATCTATGAATAACAATACTTAAAAAAAAATCTTTCTTTTTGGTGTATAGAACATTAAAATAACTTGATGCATATTCTTACAACAAACAATCAAACTTAGCAATACAATTTATATGTTTTGTCTACGGACAAGACATTTTATTGATATTTAATTAAATGCATTAAAAACATAATTGTTAAAGTAAAGATTAAAAGTTACCCATTAAATTTTAAGCTGTGTTTTTTAATTTTTGGAAAATATAAAAATGTCCCCATGATTCTTTATATATCTCAAAATTTTATTGATTAAGCAAAAATGAAGACACATTTTTTTCAACTGAAATCCATAAATCTGACTGTTTAACAATCAAACTATTATTAAAACTTAATTTTGAAATAGTTGAATGTGTTCTCTTGAAACAATAACATACATTTTATCTATCAAAAGATGCTGAACCTCGAGGAAATTGGAAACAAATACATTGTGATAATGTCAACGGACAAGACATTTTATTGATATTTAATTAATTGCATTGAAAAATAATTGTTAAAGGTAAGATTTAAAGTTACCCATTAAATTTTAAACTGTGATTTTTTAATTTTTGGAAAATATAAAAATGTACCCATGATTCTTTACATATCTCAACATTTTATTGATTAAGCAAACATGAAGACACATTCTTTCAACTGAAATCCATAAATCTGACTGTTTAACAATTAAACTATTATTAAAACTCAGTTTTGACATAGTTGAATGTGTTCTCTTGAAAAATAACATACATTTTATCTATCACATGAGGCAGAACTCGGGGAAAATTATAACAGATTTGACAGAGACATGAATTGTGGGATGTTTCAGAAATGTATTTAACTTGCACTGGCTTCAGTTTTTTTAATGAACTGAAACCAACTTTATTTCAGGATTGTCTTTTTTTTAATATTTCAAACGCTTCTGGGAGTGTTTGCTGATCTGTGGTGATAGGAAGCAAGCAATTTTTTTCCTTCACTTCTTCTTTTACTTTGTCTTTTCTTGGTTTTCTTAGCTTGGATTTCCTCCATTCTGATAATTCAACAGGTGCTTTCTTATATTGTCGTCTAAGGCCCAGAAAATTAGAAATAGCACTTCCAAATTTGTGGTATTTTCCAACTGGTGCTAACACAGCATTATACAATGTGTCTGCTTGCCAAATGTTTTTTTCTGTCTGTATAGTGCCTCTCTTCTTCATATCTTAAATTCTATTGCTGATTGTATTCATTACAGCTTTGCCCACTTCTAATTGTAGCACCACATGCTTACTATGTACTACTCCTTTCTTTTCGAGTTCTTTTC